GCCTCGGGCGCGCTCCGCCGGGTGACAGGTGCGCGCGCGAGGTCACGGCGCCGCCACCTTACTCACCGGGTCCGGAGAGGCAGGGGCGGACTCCCCAGGGCAGGGAAAACACAGCCCCATGAGATCAGCGGCTGGGGGCTCCTCACGGGTCCGCCTCACACCAGGCGGTGCGGACGGCTAGGTCACACTGGCGTCCCAAGTCCCCGGCGCGCGCCCCGCCCCCATCGCTGCCCAGCCGCTCGGCGGGGCTCCGCCCCACGGCCGCAACGCCCCGCCCCCTCTTTCTGCGGCGCGGCCGGCTCGCTGAGACAACGCCCACCTCACGTCTCCTGGCCCCACCCCTCCGGCAAAGTTCGGCTCCGCCCCGTTCCGTCAGAGCCCCATTCAAAGCCCGTGGCTCCGCCCCACCCCGCTGCCATTGGCTCCAGCCGCACGTCGGGCGAGGCGCCAGGATGAAAGCACCTAACGCAGAGATGGGAAAGCTGTGGTTCTCCAAATTCTCCTGACTCCCTTCGCAGTTAATCCAGAAGGAACGACTCTGGATAGATCCTGAAAACTGTAACCTTCAGGATTTTAAAGCTGTCATGAAAAGTTGGTGTCAGCACCGATTCTTGTCTTTTTAGTGATTCAGTCAGTATTCTTGCACTTTAAAGGGCCGAGCATGGGATTTTACCACTTAAAAAATCCAACATAATCCTGCATTTGTTGAGATTTCCACTAGTTTTTTTACATTCGAAAGTCCGTTATCTCTTGTTTTGGTTTAATTGTGCTCCACCCACCCCAAAGGTATATTATAAATTCTAACCCCAGTTCTGCTGAGGTAAGCCCTCTGCTGCTTACCACAAAGTTAGGATTTCGAAACCCACCATTCACTGGGGGAGAAAGATGAGGCTTTCCGCTCAGATTTACAGCCTCGGACACGCTAAGAGGATACATTCTGTCCCACAGAGTTGCGATGAGTCAGATGAAGTTTATTCTGCTGGGTAAGCTTGGTTTTTGATACACAAAATGTGCAGTTAATCCACCAGCCCCTCCTCGGGAGAAAGACAAGGCTATTTGCTCTCCTTAAGATCTCCAGCCATGGAAGCCCTATACAAGCCATTTGTCTGATGGACTCTGGACCGCCGTGGGTTATTTTATTTTTTAAATGAATCAATGACAGCGTTGTTTTTCAGTACGTTTATCTGGGGGTGGGATTTTATTTTTATAATGCGATTCTATCTGTTTAAAGTGTTTCATGCCAATGACTGTTGAGCTCTCAAAGGGACAGTTTAAATACAGAAGCAGACAGTAATAGAAGATAGATACCAGGCCCCATGAATATGACTGATGACTAAAGGACAGAAGCTGAAGAGTGACAAATGCCTTACCCTAGAGCCAACAGAGCCTTCCCTTAAAGTAGGCACCCTCAATTCAGAATGGGAAGGTTGAGGGTTTGATACCACCCAGTTGCTTCACAAGAGAAGTATGATGATCTGTTCCCCCAAAGATTAAACTCACTGCCATTGAGTCAATTCTGACCCATGGTGATACACTACTGTATAGGTTTGTGAGACTATAAATGTTTATCGGCACAGACAACCTAGTCTCATCTTGCTCCTGCAGAGCAGCTAGTGGCTTTCCACCTCCAACTTTGTGGTCAACAGCTCAGTACCAAACAGCACAACCAGGGCTAATCTCCCATAAATTATTGCAAAGGAACCACATGGGACAGTGCTACTCTGTCACATGGGTTTATTAAGAAGAGGAATCAACTCCATGCCACCCAATAGCAACAAAACTCTATTTAATCCTATAATCCTATGAATCCCCCCATATATGAAAGTTTATAAGCCGACCGCTTCATGTCTCTATGCTCCCAATTTTGAGTATCCAATTTCTATACTGTCCACTTAAATCAACCGAGTGCTCTGAGGAGACAATCATATTCTTTGACATGAAGAATTTTCATTCTAGTTACAACTAGAACCTTGTAAAATCTGCAAAGCAAATTTTAGCAAAGTCAAATCAGGACAGGCCATCTATAAAGTCTGCAGCAATATGCACCAGTTCATAGGCTGAAAAATCTTCTCTTTATCTGGTTGGGTTCTGGTCAGCTCAATGTGGGCTGCCTCACTTAGTCTCACCAGGGTGCCATTGGTCGCCTTGCCTTTAGACCATGGGTTTGTTACAAATTATCAACAAGCCTAGCCCCCTCGGGCTAGGTCATGAATTTCAGACCAGTCAACCTGCTCCCATCTTCTCCTCTGGTTCTTGTAAACCAGGTCCACAGGTGTCAGTGGCTAGATTCAACCTGTCTCTCTATTGCTGTATTTCTCTCACTTCTACTCAAGTGGATCCAGGTGGTCACCTAGCAAGCATTTCAGCCTGCCCACAGGCTCCTTTTAATATTCAGTCTGAGAGAGGAGTTTTCTTCATGATTCCAGATTTTTTCCAACTTTGACAAAAACCCACTAGTTCAAAATTTAAAAATCCAGAGTTCATTTTTTCTTCAATCTGTCAACAATCCCCTAGGCAGGTCTCTTGGAATGCAACTCTCCTGAGTATGCCAAAGCACTGGGTGGGTCTTATATTTTCAAAGCCTTCTTTGCAGGTGTGTCCTAAACCCATTTAGAGATCAAATTTTAATGGCTTATGGCAAGTGGGCTTGCTAGCTATTTTCATACTTCTAATAATGCTTTCAATCATTGTATCAACAATAATAAGCAGTAGAAATCAGTACAAACAAAATAGAATCAGATACTAATCTCAATTCTTAAAACAATCAAATTCAATCCTTATTTAGCTTATCTTAATTCTTCATCTAAACTATTCTATTGATATAAAAATATGGGATTAGGCCTCTGACAGCATTGCCTCAAGCCAGGGCCAGGCCTTCTGTCTGCCATTTTGACTTCAGTCAACTATTTTCATATTCATTCCACAAAACAACCCAGTAAACTGCATAACCATATCTGACTTCTGGCTAGACAAAAAAGAAACATTACTATGAGGCAGAAGTCAAACAAGCATTCACTCTCCATCTTATGATTTGTTTCTGTAGTACCCCACTCCTGGTACCATAATGTATCAGTCCCGGAAGACTAGAGAAACAAATTCACGGAGACTCATATGTGTATAAGAAAGAGCTTTATATACAAGAGCAATTGAAAATGGAGAAAACATCCCAGCCCTGTCCAAATCAAGTCCATAAATCTGGTATTAGCTCATATGTCCAATACCAATCTCTATAGTCCTCTTCAGAATCAGAAAACACATGCAATGATGCCATATGTAAGATGATCACCAGCCAGTGAGTGGAAAGCCTTGTGGATCCAGTGGTGGTGTAAGCGTCTCAGTGCTGGCAAGGGTGTCCACGTGGCTTCTCCAGCTCCGAGGCTCTGGCTGCCATCAACCTGTTTCCACGGGGCTTGTCAGCAAGAATATCTCACAGGGATTGAGCTTGTGTCCTGCCTGCAAAGAGCTATTTATCTTCTCAGTGCCTCCAAATGAAGTCATCAAGCTGCAACCCAATTGGCAGGCTAAACGTCACCCCTTCACTGGTAAGTCTCAAATTAACAACAGATTATGGAACTACCACACTGAGAAATTAATCTTGAAACCATTCATATGTAGGAGTTCTGTTAAAGCACACTGAGAAACTAAGGTCCAAGGTCAACAATGCTGTATTCAGAAATATCTAGTTTAGTCTTTATCAGATGTTAATAGCTCTAGGATACAACTGGGCACCTGGTTAAACTGTAAATATTGATTTCAAAGTTCTAGGGTGGGATCTGATAGCACAGTGGATTAAGAATTGGGCTGCTTACTGTAAATTGGGCGATTCAAATTTACCAGTAGCTCCTAGGGAGGAAGAGAAAGCTGTCTGCACCTGTAAAGATCTACAGCCTCAGAAACCCTGTGGAGGCATTCTACTGTTTCTTATACAGCAGTGGCTCTCAACCTTCCTAATGCCGCGACCCTTTAATACAGTTCCTCATGTTGTGGTGGCACCCCCCGCAACCATAAAATGATTTTCATTGCTACTTCATAACTGAAATTTTGCTACTGTTATGAATTGGGTGACCTCTATGAAAGGGTCAGTTGACCCCCAAAGGGGTTGTGACCCACAGGTTGAGAACCCCTGCTTTAGAGTCTCAATGACTAGGAATTTACTAGAAGGCAGAGAGTTGAGAGAGGATAGGGACTTACAGTCAGTTCTAGCACGATTCCAGGGATACTGATATTAATAATCTCCTCTCATTGCTACCAACTTAATAATTGTTGCATTCTAGTAGTTATTCTGTCTCATAATGTTCAATTTTACAGAGATAAAAATACTAATCAGCGTTAACATGGTGATGTCTAATGTTCTGATTTATTTATTTTTAATTTAGATTTTTGTGACACTTCTCAAACAATTTCCCCACTCATTTCTGGTTCAAGTTAAGCACTGATTTGTTTCAGTCTTCACATATTGACCATGTTTAAAAAAAATTTTATATGAATGTATTCATATCATAAATGCTCCTTGTACCTGGCTCCCTTTCTCAATATATTATCTTAAATGATATTAAAGAACATATTGTATAAATATGCCACATTTGCAAAAACAACAAAACATCAATTAACTTACTCAAAGATATTTGGTCTCTTTTTATTATTATTTTTCCAATTTGAGCCAATATGAATAAAGACTTAAAAGTATTGATATATGCCCTTCTTTTTAACATATTTGGTCACGTGAATATCTGAAAATGGAATAACTCAGTCATGGCTTATGTTGATGGAAAATAGATTTATGTTTTATTTTTTAGGTCAAATAAAGGGTTTGTACTACTTTCCATTCAGCAATATACCAGTTGCTCCTCATCCTAATCATGTACTTTGAATTTTACCACTTCAAATGAATGTGTAGCAGGATTGATTTGTCTTTGCCATTGTTTTATTATCTTCCTTTTCAAAGTGATTTTCCCCCCAAATCTTTTGTCTATTTCAGTGGGTTTTTTATATTCTTGGAGTTCTAACATTAAAAAGCAAACAAAAAGCAAAAAAACAAAAGCACCTGCAATTCTACTCTTAGGTATATAACTAAGAGAAATAAAAAACATATGCCCATAAAAACCAGTGTGCAAATATTCATAGTAGTAGTATTTATTATAGCTAAAGTGTAGAAACAACCCAAATCTCCAATGAATGAATGAAAAAATATTCTACACCCTTAAAATATATACATATATCTCTTGAATACAAGCCTCCCCCATCCCCTATAGATAGAGGCATTGTAAATACTTTCTCCCAGTATTTGGTTTCTATTTCCATTTTCTAATGGATGTTTTTGAATACCAGAAGTGTCAAGTTTCAATGAAATCTAATTTAACATCTTTTTAATGGTTCATGATTTCTGGCCCTATTCACAATCACAATGGTTATTGTTTTGTAACCCATATTGATTTCATTATTCTAAAAATTAACTGTATGGCCTATTTTATGTTAATCTTCACATTTATCAAAGGCTTTGTGGACTTATTTTGCAGTCCCTTATCCTCCGGAACTGTGATCTACAACTGTCAGTTCCCACAAACTCCCCAAACTCTTATTTCTGTTTCTCATCAGGAAAACTGTTGTACTTTGCTTCATTTCCCCCAGTTTGCACCCTGACCTAGAATGTCGCTCTAAGGAGAAACAGGCCCCGTTATATCTCTTCTCTCAAGGATCACATTCTTGTGTCTTGTCTAAGTTCTTAGGATAACTGTTTCCTATCATTTGTTCCATCTTCTGGTTGCTTCCCATGAGAACATAGCATTGATAATCATGTCCAGACATAGAATTCCCTGGGCCTCATTTTCATTACACTTGGAAAAGTGCAAATCCATCAGGTAATATCATTTGCACTTTAATCCAATAGTTGATGGTTTTTTATTTAGAAAAGAATTGTTATCATTCCATTTGCCTATTAGAAATTACTTATGCAATTAAGTGAGGGTTTTAAAGAGATGTATGATTATCATTTATTTCATACATCACATTAAAATTTTAACTCAGCATTCAAATTTTACTTTAAGTGAAAATTGTAATTACACTATGACTTGATTGCAACAGTTTATATTACAGCTTTAAAAAGTCAACTTATTAAAACATAAACACCAGTGATGACAAAATATTCAGAGGAAAGGAATTTTAATAAATATTTTAAAACCCTCTCCTGTGATTTTAAAAATATTTTAAACACTATAGTAAATACAAGTTGTTATATAAATTTAAGTAGATAAAGTATATGCCCTTATTATTATAGCATAATCCTAATTATATAATAACTCAGATTAAATTACAAAACTAAATAAAACCACAAATATATTACCTTTAAAAGTCCATGCCGGTTCCTTGCCATTTGTTAAGAGGCAGCAAATCTCAAATTTACCACAGAAAAGTGGTAGCAAAATGTAATCATTAATACAGTACTACAACCTGCAGCTTGAATGATCAATGCACACACTGGGTTTATTTTGCTGATGTGTCAGAGCATTGCCTTTATTTGCAAGTGAAATCAAACATGACATGCCGCTTGATGTTAGAAATCCATGTTTGTGGTCTGGCGCATGACTCCTTCCAAGTAGACTCCAGCTCTATCAGGAAGTCCACTGGAAGAGATTAAAAATACATAAAAGAAAATAAGTCCAAGGAACACCTCGATAGGGAGCAGCTAGTGCTGATGATAGATCATTTGAGAAAGGTCTCAGAGACAGGAGTCTTTCTTATGCAAGCCAAATTGTACCAAGAACCAGGCGTGAGATTCTGAATTAAAATAGGATCATATAGGGATCAGAGCCAAATAGAAAGAGGTATTATCAACAAAGCAATGGATATGATATAAAAAACAATTCCATGAGCCAAACAACACACGTTGCAGGCAGGATGAATTTGGAGAAATGGTAGATGTCACTTTTGAGTAAAGAACAAAAATCAGTCCTGAAATGTAATGCATGTGACAGAGATGTAAAAACAGGGAATGTTTTCCCAGGTTGGCCTGTGATTGAGTGTGAGATCATACATCCATTGAAATGACTCAAGATGCCTGGGGACAAGTAAATGAAAATGCAAGTGTTCTGTATACCAAAACCCATGGGACTTTAACCTTAACATGACATCTTAAATATCATTTTTATATCTGTGAATATGTATAATTGAAATGATAATTTGAAGACAACTTCTGCTAGGTGAAATTTAAACAGACAAAAGCAAAGAAAGTGATATAAAACACATATATAAAATAGTGAAATGTAAAAAATATATATGTCATTTAAAAAACATAAGAGTACATTGTCAAAGTTCTTGTCACAACTGGATAATGTATTATGCATCCTCTGTTCTACCAGGCTCAGCAAAGAACTTATTTGTACAGACTCAGGTTTACTTTTATCCCATACGCTTGAGGATGGACAGACTGCATTGATGAATGTAGTCTTCCCTAAAGCCAACGATTAAGCAGAAGGAAAATAAAGAAGTAGCAGTTGGGAAGCTGCTTATTAACAAAGTACTTTGCAGAAGTTTCTAGCAAAGAAAACATAAAAGAAGAAATATCATTTAGAGTAGTGTTACTCAATGTGGTTTGGTTTCTGAGACAATGTTGATTGGGCAATATTGAGATTAATGATTCACATTCTTTTATAATAATTTTATTACTATGGCACTTTTGCCATCCCTCATCTGTCAGTTTGTTATACTGTGGTCACTTGCATGTTCTTTGTCTCTGTAGTTTCCTTTTGGAAAATAAAACTTAGTCAAAATACAACTTTCACCAAATATTTCTATATCAAATAAAATATTGATTCTAGAAATGTCTGAGAGTAAGAGTCCAGTGCCCACCATTAGTTTGAAAAAGGGATGACTGAGGACAGTGATTTTGACCCAGAAGAAAAGCCCGAGAATGGAGAAAAACCATGGTTGCCCTCAAATATGGCAAAGATGTTCAAAGAGAAGGACATGAGAGTACTGTCTGGCTATCACAAATATAGTCAGGAACTCAAAGAGAAGGGCCGTGGAGACCATGTGTCTGGTTCTGTGATGGGCAAAGATGAAATAAGTTGTGTTTGGTGTAGAGTTTTCTGTTGTTATAGGTGTTGAAGGTTAGGTTGAAATGACTATGTGTCGGGAGTTTTTAGTTTACTTTCCAAATAATGTAATCCAAAAGATTTGCGTGAATGAACTTGGGCAGTCAGTGAAAGTAGGGCAAAGCAAGAACTGGAGTTCAGCATGACCTAATTTCAAAGCCCATGCCCTTCATTACACCACATCATCTCCAGTCCAGGCTGCAAGATTTGAATAATAAATGGGCATCTCACTAGAGGATCTTGAAGACACCTTCCCAAACCGGAAATATGATTTACAGTGACTTTTACCTAAGCTGAAACAGGAGATGTGTATTGCATTTCCAGGTATCTGCTAATATCAGTGACATTTCGGTACTTACTAGGAGTTCCGGTTCCTCATGAGGAATTGGCTTGGAGAAAAGTTTACTTTGTTTCCTCTTCTGCTTCCTCATGACTTGCATGTGCATAATACGCTTGTTCGTGGACTTTGGGAAGATTAAATGACAACATCATAGTTTTACAGCATGAAAAGGTACCGAGCTGACTGTAGTTCTGGGTTTGTGTTCATCTGAAACAAACCTGTACATATTGTTTGCATAGCGAGGAGAAACCTTTCTTTGAAATGTGTGGTTCATAGGTGAAAACAAACAAACACATACAAAATATACTGACTAATCAGCAAGGTTGTGGGATTTAATCTTGATTCCCATTACCCCAACTGTTCATATTATTTACATAGGTGCATGATTTGTGGATAGATGTGTTTACTTTTATTTTAAAGTGAATTTTCATTTTTAAAACATAAAAGGAGTTTTCTTTCTAGGAACAGAAAAACAAAATGTATGTGTGTTGCAGTAAAAGGAAACAGAAGAACAATCTAGGAAGCAAAGCTATCGATAGAGGTATATGTGTAGGTGTGTACATATGTAACTACAGTAGTTCATTAAAACAGAGTTTTGGCCTAGCCACGTACATCTATTTATAGGACAATAAACTAAGGTAGTAGACAAACTTAGGGCCTCTGCTCATACCCTCCCTCAATGCAAGAACACGTTGTTCTAACACACTGGCATTCTGTGATGCTCACTTTCCCGGGCACTATTGCTGAAGACAAAATGGGTGCATACACAAATGTGGTGAAGGCAGATGATGGTGCCCAGCTATCAAAAGATACAGCGTCTGGGGTCTTAAAGACTCGAAGCTAAACAAATGGCCATCTAGCTCAGAAGCAACAAGCCCAGCCTGTGTGATCATGAGGCATTGACTGGACCGAGTAACAAGCATCAGGAGAACCAAAGCAAATAAACAAAAAACATATTATTGAGAATAAAGGTGTTGGAGCACAGACCCCAAGCCCATCTGTACACAACGGGACATCCCCTCACACAAGGGTCACCAGGAAGGGATGAGTAACCAGGGCACAGTAAAACACCGATGAGACACACAATATTCCTCTGGTTCCTTGAGACTTCCTCACCCCCACTATCATGACCCCAGTACTGCCTTTCACCATTGGCTAGACTGGAGCATGTGCACAAGTACAGATAAGTGATAAGAGCTCACAACACATGGAATGCAGGAACAGGAATGGGAGTAGCGAAACCAGAAGGTAAGGGGTAGGGGCAATGACTGACACATAGCCACCCACCCCCACCCCACTCCAGGGGGATGAACAACAGAAACCGTGGGGGAAGGGAAGCAGTGGTCAGTGTAAGATATGAAAATAATAATAATAATAATTTATAATTTATCAAAGGATCCCTGGGGATGGGGGGGGGATGGACAGAGGAAAGAGGAGCTGATAGCAAGGGCTCAAGAGAAAGTAAGTGTCTAGAAAATAATAATGAGTACATATGTACAAATATGCTTGATACAACTGATTTATGGATTGTTATAATAGCTACAAGAACCCCAATAAAACAATATTTTGATTAAAAAAATAAAAATCTATATGCATTCTTGTTTCTTCTTAATATTGCATACTACCCACAGCTTTCTATATCTTTGTTGAAGGGCAACAAGGGGTATTCAGAAAGTTTGTGAAAAGAGGGAATTAAAAGATTAAAAAATGTTTAAATATAGAAATGCTGTCAACCTAAACTCTACCATGTATAAGACATTTTTGTAAGCAATGATACCACAGTCCCTCCCTAAAGAACTATGGGTCGTGAGAATTTACCCATGACAATGTAGTCTTTTCTGCATCATTAACTTGAGAAAAATAGGTGCCTAGTAAACATTTTAAAGATTAAGATACAAAAAGAAGTGATAAGGAGCCAAATCAGGACTGTAAAGTGGATGTCTAATGATTTCCTTAATGTTTTATCCAAAAATTGGCCTGGTTTGATGACAGAAATGAGCAGGAACATTTTTGTGATCATGAACACCTTTAGTGGATCTTTCCTGGGCATTTTTCGGTGAAAGCTTAGGCTGACTGTCTCCACACAGGTCTGTAATAAGTAATTCTTACAGCTTACTGACCCTCCAGAAAATCAACAAGCAAAAGGCTTTAAGCAGCCCCCCAAATGTTGTCATGACCTTTGTTCTTGGTCAGTCTGCTTTTGCTTTGATGGGCCCACTTCAATCTCTTGGTAGCCATTGCTTTGATTTTGCTTTGCCTTCAGGATCATAGGAGGGAGCTGTGTTTCATCTCTTCCAAGATGACTTTTTAAAAATTGATGTGGATCTGCAAGTTTCTTTTTCATCACTGGATCATCCATTCTGAACATGAGTTATTTATTTGTAAGCTGCTAGTTTTCTTTGAAGTACTGTTCCCGGAAGCTTTCATAAGACATGAGGAATTTCATCATTCTTCCTTCCAAGATTCACCAGAAATTTGATATTTGTGCTTGATTCAATTTCATTAGCATTCATGTTATTTTTTTCAAACTTACGTCTTATCCTCATGACTGCTGCAAACTCAATTATTCATGCTGTAACAAGTTATGATGAGTTTATTTTGGTGCACACAAAAAAGTTGAAATCCATGCATAGCTTCTTTACTAATAAACATTTCCCATGAACTTTTGCACACCCCTCATTTAAACATGAGCGCGCTAGCCAATCAAGCTAGAATACTGTGACCGTACTGAGTGAGGCACAGTGTTGGGAAGGAGAAGTGATACACAGCAAGAGTATAGCTGGATACACCTATTTTGAAGACGTGACATTACCTTATAACAATGAAGAAAAAGTGTTTTCTTAAAGATCCAAGCATTCTAGTCCTAGTGAAATAACCAAATGAACTTGGTATAATGGCAAAGAAGACCCTTACTGGGATATTCATCTAAGCCCTGCGAACACAAAGCAATGTCCACCCAACAGGGGAAAGGGACAGGGTTACAAGCTATGATTTATTTCACAGTGAAATTAACTACATGAATAAAAGAAATATAACTGTCTCAAGAAAGAGAACTACGTTTCAAAAAGTAATGAGAAGAATTAGTCATGCACTAAATCCTGTTGGATCCTCTTCTGTAAAGTTTTAAAAGCAATGAAGACACACGGCTGTTAATGGTAGATATGGGACACAAGCAGGAAAGGAGAAGGATGAGATTGATGAACAGAACTCAGGGTAGCGGCGACCTTTGGGAATGATGCAGGGGGCGGGGGGGATGAGGAAGGAGCTCCTTGATGAATTCAAGAATGCCTAAAATGCCTTAATAAGCCAAAGATACCCATACTGCTTTACTTCTGAAATTGAAGGTATATTTTATTATTCTGCCTTACAACTTATAGATGCTCTATCCATTCTTATATATCAAAGGATGCAGTAAAAATCAAGAATATAAGCCCTTAGGTAACACTAGTTGTGACCCCTCCTAACAGTATTGCAGAAGTGTTGCATCATGTTTTATCAGTCATACATAAAATGAAAAGTACAGTTTTGCAACAACCAGAATCAAATTATTTACTTGAACATTACCTGTTTCCTAGTGAGATCTATAGGATCCCTCCCTCTTGGTCCTTCCTATATAACATGTAAAAACATTAGAAAGACATAAGTCAAAAGTAGTTATTATATGAAGCCTAGACTACTTTTTTGTTAGCTTTAATGTCATATATGGTGTACTATTGCCTCACCTACAGAAGGCTGGATCATGAGACCATCATTTGAGGCAAAAGTATCTCAGCTAAGGACCTGTGACTGACTTTCCTGCACTCGACGTATTGTATTTTACACTGACATGTAGGATGCATAAGAAACCCACAAATTTATATTTCTGCCAGCACTTGATTTTGATGGTGTCACCATGTCCTTGGCCAAGGGATTTAATTTTTAGACGGTCTCTAATCTAATGAGCTCTGGAGGGGTACGTGGGTGGGACATTTGGCTGCCAACTACAAGCCTGGCAGTTCCAAACCCCAGCCACTCCTCAGGAGAAAGATGGAGCTTTCTACTCGCATTAAGAGCTACAGTCTTGGAAACCCACAGGGCCAGTTCTCCTCTGTCCTGTGACATTTATAGGTTCGCTATAAATCAGCTCTATGGTAGTGAGTGAGTCTCTAATCCCGGCTTCTATAGCCCCACAAAACTGGGATGGCTGAGAAGCCCCAAGAGGCTGGTGGTTTCCCTAGGCTCAGAAAGCTTGGTTGTTAGTTTCATGGAGTTTCCATCGAACTTTCAGTATTTGTGTTTTGATCCCGGTGTTTTTTGTTTTTGCCTTTTAATCCATAAACATCATCTGCATCTAGATATCGAGAACTTTATCCCAGTCCCCAACACGGTACCCCCACAATTCCTCTCCAGGGGCTCATGAGAAACACATGCCCATTGAATCCAAGACAGTACATTGTGGTTTTTTTTCTCCACCCCCGCCAGCCTCAGCCCCCTACCCCAATCTACTCCCTGCCTTCGGTTCCGCAGCCTAGAATCGATTCTCTTACTTCATCCTGGTGTCCCAAACCCAGACCCAACTGCCTAGGAGCACAAGGCTCAGAGCAGATCGATAAACGTCTGAGAGGACTCACGGGGTTGACTTGGGTTGTCTCATCCCCCTTACAGTACAGGCACATGTCGCAGATCTTCTAAGCGCCCCTTGCACTCCCTCCCGCTGGCTCAGATGGACACCAGGACTGCTGGGCACCTAGGACACACCTGCCACGCCCCCAATGACCCCACCCATCATAATTTGCTTTATCCTTCCTCTGGGCCCCGCCCTTTCTCCTAGTGGCTTTCCAATCCCTTTCCAGGGAGAGTAGAGCTACAGAGAAGTTAGCGGTGTCAAGTTACCAAGTTCGTCCAACTCTGGTTAACCAGACAAACCACGCACCACCAATTCTTTCCATCACTCCTAGTCCCCACCTCTCTACTCTCTGTCATGGAGATAACATCCTCAAGTCTTAACAAATCCATCATGTCAGCCTCTCTGTGGTCAAGGTTAACAAACCCTTCTCTCCATTACTCTATCAGGATCCAAATGTATCTATCCAACTCGGCTTCCTTCCGAGGTCAATTGGGTTGCCATGGGTAGATATCAGTTCAGAGACATGTAACAACAGTAACAATATTCCTAGGCTAAAGACATGGGGAGGTGGGGAGTGGAATATTGTACAATATATGAGGGGACTTAAAAAAACAAGTGGAAAAATTCCATGATTTTTTATTTCCATTTTTCACATATTTTGTGAAGAACCCCCCCTTCCGCCTCCCCCCTCCCTATATCCATGGCCGTTGATTGAAACCCAGGCATTACCACTCCTTACCAATTTTATAAGGCAGCAGCTCTTTGTTTCTTACTCTGGTCACTCCTTTCAAACGGCCTGTCCTCTATTATAAAGACTCTCAACCCACCATATCCTGGTCACAATAGGTAGCACTATCATGGCAACGTTTGCCTCCAACATTGATAATGGCTAACACTTAATAGATTGCATATGATCAGGATCTTTAGAGAAGTTTATTCAATTCCTTACAACAGTTTCCCAAAGTGGGTGATACCATTCCCTGGAGGAGGTAAAAGTGTGCGCACTGTGACTTTTGGGGGTCGGGGATACAAAAGCAGATACCTACACTTTATCCTGGAAGATAGTCTATAGCAGGGGTACCAAACTGGCAGTCTGCAGGCCGCCAGTTTGACACCCCTGGTCTATAGTATCAAAGTTTTTAATTGCCAGGTGGCACTGAGTAGTATTTTTTTCTGGAAAGGTGGTGGTAGGCCAAATAAGTTTGGGAACTTATGCTACAATGCCTCCAAAAGGTAGAAGCATGTGTAAAATCACGCAGAAAGTAAAGCTCTGGGCTGTCCAATGATTGGAGTATACAACTAGTAAGAGGGTGAGCTAGGATTTAAATCCAGAAAGTCTGGACCCAGAGCCTGTGCACATAATCACCGGGCTGCGCCATCAATTGCTTTTGAACCCCCGACTGTGGCTATGTCAAGTCTCTATCACCGATAACCCTAAAACGTCTTCTATGTATTCACATCATGCTGTGTCCTGGAATCACTGTTGTAATGAGGAAATTGATCTCCCTCCATCTGTCTTGGCAATTTCTTCCCTCTTTTCCTTGTACAATTTCCCCTTAGGAACTTCCTTGGAGATTGCAATCTGCAGATTTCTTCCACTCTAGGTATATATTACCTCTGAACTGTAAACCTATTCCATACTACGTACTCACATTTTCTCCTTTTCACAACCCAAATCAAATTAAAATCACGGCATAGCGTCTATTTCAACTCAGCAACCCAGTAGGATTGGGTTTAACAATCGCTTTGGGTTTCTGAGGATGAAAATCGTCATAGGAGTAGAGAGCATTATTTTTCTGCCGCACACCGGCTGGGGTGTGGAACTGCTGCCCTGGTGGCTAGTAGCTCCATATGTAACCCACTATGCTCACAGCGCTCCTCCCGCTCTCCAAACTCATGTACAGAAAACTTCTGTGTAACAATGGAGTCTAATCATTTCTCCTCCGCTCCATTTACAGTAAAATTTACTAGAGTTACCTCACCTCATATGTCTACTTGTGTACATCCAGTGTAATGCTTTACTCACAGTGACTCCACCTTCTTCATTCTGTACATCTTGCCTCAACATGATCATTAATGATCTCTCTTGGTGGACTGAATGGACACATTTTAGTCCATGGCTTTCCTGTAGTCTCAGAAACTTCTATTCTTGGACGAGTTAGGCATAGAACAATTAAATCATCTTTCCCAAGGGTGGTGCTTGAAATCACCGATCTTCTGGAAACTTTCCTCAGGGGAGAATAGGCTTTACAGAAAATATGCAATTTTACCCACACTCTCAAACCAGGAATTGTATTAATTCCTGTGCCCCCCACCCCAAAGTACACGTCACCATTTACTATTACATACTTTGCTTGTTTCTTGTTATTATAAGTGGGCATGAGGTAGATACTGAATCACTTATAGCCACCATATTGTGTGCGATCATTTTGAAGTTAATGCAATAAGACAAGAACAGACCCTGTGTGTAGGTCTGGCATCACCTGATACATAAGGTTTTACCAGCTATCTACAATTCTATGAATTTGGAAAGAAATTGGAAACTAGAAACAACAAAAGAAAACAATTGATGTTGTCAAGTGAAGAACCACTGCTACATGGCAGTGAACAGCGAGAAACCACGAAGAAACCATTCCCCCTCCCTGCTTTCTTGCCTCCCTGAGTCCCTTGTCTTCCAATCTTCCAGGAACCCTACCAGCTAAAGAGAATAGCATATGCTGAGTCCCAACATTGCCTTCAAGAGTACACTTGGATTGGAAAGCCAACGTCTTAATAATCGGAACAGCAGATATCATGTCCTAAGCCATAGATGGTTCTTCAACTATACCTCGGAGGGAATGGTTTCGTCTCTCCACTATGTAGGTTGGTGGGCTTTACTATAGTACAGTCTTTCATATTGTCTGTTAACAGAGCATTGATCTCACCATATAAAAGACGAAACAGATAGGTGTATTAATGTTGTAGTTCTAGATAGTGAAAATTATATTTTCAAAACCTGCAAAATAGTAACATTTAGTTGTAAAGGAAATTCTGAAAACTCATGAATGCTGAGTATAACAATACTCAACATTTTCTCTTCTACACTTTGGCTGATACCTACTACCATTGGACTCATAGCCACCTTATATAGGGTTTCTGAGAATTATAGATCTTTATGGGAGCAGAGAGCTTCACTGGAAAGGCTTGAACCACCCATCTTGTGGTTAACAGCTCAACACTTACCTGACAGTGCCACAGGGCTTCTCCCTTTGGCTGGAACAGAGGAATTCTCCATGCCAAGATCCAAGAAATATCTCTAAAAGCCCATTATTTCATTTGAACAACAAAACAAGGAAATAATTGTTCCTTTCACAACAACAACAACAAAATGGTATTAATAGCAATCAAATTGGGGGTTTTGGTTTGTAATAAGTTATAGTAATATATCGGCTGCAGTGCGACTACGCATCTCCAAGAGGACTGTATAGCACAGGATGCTTCCCAGTTGCCTTCCAGGGGTCCCTTTCAGAGTGTACTATGTATGTCTCTCTCATTTTAAATAGAGACTCATAATTAGTTGTTGTTGTTGTTGTTACTGCCAAATAATGAAAGATTATTTCATAAGAATGTATTTTAATATTTTTATAAGTGTATTTCATGATCATTTCACTTTAAAAACCTTTGCATTTCATTTTCTTTTTTTTTTTTTGGCTCGGTATAGTGACAAGATCCAGTTCTCTAAGCCCCTCCCCTTCCTTCAGGGGGTCCGGATGGAATATTCTCACTGTGTTGGGGGATTGAATTAGGGGCAAAGACTCCCCAGCATTTGCTTTTTAAACTCTTTTCTGTGATTTGAGAGAAGTTTGCAGAGTACATTGGTTTTGTGACCCGGGAATGCCATCCTTATAATGTAGCAGCATGCGTCCCACTCCCTCTCTTGTCATTTGTTCTTCTTTCCTAGTGAGCCCCTGCCTTCAGAACTTTATCCCTGGGCAAATGCTGCCTTCTTGATCTCACTGCGCGATTTTCCTCAGGGATGCTTACCTCTGACTGCTGCTGCTTACTTTACAGACCTCCCTACTGTTTGGCTGAAGCTTGAGCAATGCCAGTGAATTCATTTCCAGACCAGAAGGATGACGAGGGAGGCTCTATCAAGTAAGCCTTGTGTTCTTTATGCTTTTGATTTTAAATACACATTTTTCTCCCTCTCTGCCAGGACCTTCTGTGTGATTCCTTTCAGAGCGCCCAGTAGTGGTTTCCAGGCATCATTTAGTTCTGGCCTCAGGGTCAAGGCAGCTGAGGTAAGTCCTTGGGATAAAATAATCTGAACTATGGAAATCAATATTCTAATCACCTTTTGCCAAATCCATCTTTTTGGTCTTAAGTTTTCTGTCTATGCAATATTCCGTGATTTTTGTTTTATGTCTGAAGTGGCAGTTTCATAATAAAAGCAAAATTAGCTCATTAGGGTGTTTCCATACTGCAGCTGGTATTTTTATTATCTTTCTCTTGGTACTTGACAAATATACACTGATGAGATTGATAGTTTTGAATATTAGGGATGGGTTGTCTCCATTGAATGCCTACACTAAACAAAAATTAGCTGGCCATGCCACAACAGAGGAATTGGAAAGAAATCAGGCACACATTAGACACCTGTCTGGACAATCCAAAGCTGGGCACATACAGACCAAGGTCACCTAGGCACAGGTGGAGGTCAACCTGGGCACACACTAGGCACCAATGTCACAGCTGCATCTGAACTTTGCCACTAAAAATGGCCAATACCCTCAACTTATCCTTCCCAAGGGGGATAGGAGGAGATAAACAGACAGAGGGCAGGCAGTTCTCTTTCAGGTGCTGTCTTGCAGGTCACAGGGTGGGATCACTTCCTTGTGCTGCTCTGAAGCGGCCATCTTTGGTCGTGAACTCTCCCCCC